CACATCATGCTTCGTTGGATTCACACGCCGCCCGCCCCGACGCCAAACGTCGGGACCCGAGAAACAGGGATCGAAGATCTAGAACGCAGGAGAAAAATTGGATGACAACTCCCATCCTCCACGCAGCCCCGGGAGGAAGAAAAATAGAACCGTCTGGGGAGCCAGGGGGGGGGGCGCTTGGGTTTTGTGTAGGATGAAAAAAAAAAGAGGGCAAGGGGGTGAAAACAAAACATGGCTGGAAGCAGGAAAAAACGACATGGCCACAGCTGCAGATGTTCCTTGGGGGCTAGTTGAGCATCTTGTGGTTCTGGAGCAAGGGGTGGGGTGGGGTGACAACAAACCAAGATAGTAATAATAATAATAATAATAATAATAATAATAATAATAATAATAATAATAATAATAATAATAATAATAATAATAGTAATAGTAATAATAATAATAGTAATAATAAAAGTTGGAAGGGACCTTGAAGGTCATCGATTCCAACCCCCTGCTTAGGCAGGAACCCTATACCATTTCGGACAAATGGCTGTCCAGTCTCTTCTTAAAAACTTCCAGTGTTGGAGCATTCACCACTTCTGGAGGCAGGTTGTTCCACTGGTTAATTGTTCTCACTGTCAGGAAGTTTCTCCTTAGTTCTAGGTTGCTTCTTTCCTTGATCAGTTTCCATCCGTTGCTTCTTGTCCTGCCTTCAGGCCCTTTGGAGAATAGCTTGACTCCCTCTTCTTTGGGGCAGCCCCTGAGATACTGGAAGACTGCTATCCTGTCCCCCCTCGTCCTTCTCTTCGTTAAACTAGACATACCCAATTCCAGCAACCGTTCCTTATATGTTTTAGCTCCAGTCCCCTAATCATCTTTGTTGCTCTTCTCTGGACTCTTTCTAGAGTCTCAGCATCTTTTTTACATCGCGGTGACCAAAACTGGATGCAGTATTCCAAGTGTGGCCTTACCAAGGCATTGTAAAGTGGTATTAATACTTCATGTGATCTTGATTCTATCCCTCTGTTAATGCAGCCCAGCACTGTGTTGGCTTTTTTGGCAGCTGCAGCACACGGCTGGCTCCTATTTAAGTGATTGTCCACTAGGACTCTGAGATCCCTCTCACAGTTACTACTATTGAGCAAGGTGCCCCCTATACTATACCTGTGCATTTGGTTTTTCTTGCCTAAATGCAGAACCTTGCTTTTTTCACCATTGAGTTTCATTTTGTTAGATAGCGCCCAGTGTTCGAGTCTGTCCAGGTCCTCCTGTATCTTAAGCCTGTCTTCTGGAGTGTTGGCTATTCCTGCCAGCTTGGTGTCATCCGCAAATTTGATGATTTCCCCATCTATCCCCTCGTCCAAATCATTGATGAAGATGATGGGGGGGTTAGAAGACGAAAGAGACCAAGTTCTGGGAGCAGAAATGTTGCCCCTTCTCATTCGGCCCCTTTTCTTTGTCCAATTTGCCCCCTTGGCCTGCAGTTTTGTGTGTTTTTCTCTCTCTAGGAATACGTGCACTGCCTCCTTCCTTTGACCTGGTTGTGTGGAAGATCGGCGCCATCTATCTGCCACGAAGGAAACAGCGCTCGTGAGAAATCCTTGCTAGTTTTTTGTTTCGTTTTTTTAAAAGATTTCCACTCGGAAATCTTCTGTAAATCATCATCTGTCATTGTGGGGCTAGCCTGGATTGTGCCTGTGCAAATCCTAGCCGGAAATCTCTTGTCGTGTGCATCAATCACCGCCTCTCAATCCGGCTTTCTTTGCAGACCAGAACGGGAAAACTGGGAAGGAAAAAGACATGGATGCTCCCCCCCCCTCAAAAGCTCTTAAGAAGGGAGGAAATATAAGTGCCAAAAAAGGGGGGAAAATGTTTCTTTATTCCGCTTGGGAGAGGAAAAAAAAAAAAAGAAGAGTGTGCAGACTAATTCCAAGCCCGGCGCAAATCTTTGTCGTTTAGCCCTCACGTTGAGACATTCAGCTATATTTGGATCTTATTGGAACATTAAAGCTAATCGTGTTTATGTAAGTTTCTAAACAAGGCATCAAGCCAGTTTTCCAGCCGAGGTTTTTGAAGCCTATTTTTCATCATCGCTATGAGCTTTTTTTTTTTTATTAACACCGTGGCCTAATTCTACAACCCCTGCATTCAAAATGTGCTTTTTCTTAAGTATTTTTTTCTGCCTTTAATTTCCTTTACATGCGAGCTCTCAAAAGTCTCACTAATGAAGGCGAATCTACGTGTCCGAGGATAATGTGGCAGGATCCAATCTGGGTTGGTCACCGGGACCAGGTTTTGTCTTCCAAGCTTTGGGACTCACGCTGGGGCCCATTCTCAGGAAACGTCTAATAGCGTGTGTGTGGTACAGGTAGCCCTCCACTTACGACCACAATTGAGCCCAAAATTTCTGTTGTTAAGTGAGACATTTTATCAAGGTAATGATTTAACAGCTAACCAGCTGATGTAGTGTAAAATGTAAGATGTAATGATGGGAATGGCTCAGCAGGGTCTGAGTCTCTTTAAGAGCCTTTGTATAAAAGGGTAAGTTCTGCTGATGTGTTAATAATAATAATAAAAGTTGGAAGGGACCTTGGAGGTCATCGAGTCCAACCCCCCGCTCAGGCAGGAAACCCTATATTGTTTCGGACAAATGGCTGTCCAGTCTCTTCTTAAAAACTTCCAGTGTTGGAGCATTCACTGCTTCTGGAGGCAGGTTGTTCCACTGGTTAATTGTTCTGTCAGGAAGTTTCTCCTTAGTTCTAGGTTGCTTCTCTCCTTGATTAGTTTTGGATCCTGCTGTATTAGCAGGTGTATGTATATTATTCCTGGTGTATGATATTGTAGACAGTGTAAGATAAACCACCTTTTAATATGGACCAGTTTACTGTGTTTACTCCCGGATTATCTCGCGCAACAAGACTGTGCCCGCTCTGAAACATTTTGTTAAGTGAGGTTTGCCCCGTTCTACGACCTTTCTTGCCGCAGTTGTTAAGTGAACTGCTGCCTTTGGTAAGTTAGTAACCCAGGTGGTTCGGCGAATCCGGCTTCCCCATCGACTTTGCTGATCAGATGGTCGCAAAAGGAAATCACGTGACCTTGCGACACGGCAAACGGTCATAAATATGAACCAGTTGCCAAGCGTCTGAATTTTGATCACGTGATCCTGGGAAGCTGCAGAAGTCATAATTGTGGGGCCCATTTCCCAGGCTTCAAATCACTTCCCTGGCTGTTTTTGTCCCTGCTCGGCCAACAATCTTAGTAGCTGCAAACAGAATAGCATAAAGCACGCTCTCTGCTAGAGAGAGAGAGTCTGAAAACCCGGAAGATTAAATCTCCGGTTCTGGTGGCCGATCCAGATTGGATCTCAAAAATCTCTATTTCCTCGGTTTTGTTTAACGTTGGTTTTGCTGAAAGCGAACAGTTGTGATGGGCAGGTAAGGTTGTTTGTCTGCCGAATTCTGTACTCCGTGCTCCGTTTTTGGGTGACCGAGCTAAACGCTGGAATTGGTGACAGCAAAATCGACGGGCCGAGCTATTTTGACAGTTAAATGGAAAACAGTCTGAGCGGCACAGACCGCAACAGGAAAACAGAGCAAACAAAAATGTTTTCATCTGTTTTGTTTTATAGTTTTAATATGATCTTATAGGTCGTTTTAACTGCCCAGGGTTGGCTAGGAGAGCGGCGGCTTTAGAAATGTTTTAAATAAATATGTAAAATGTAATAAACAGAAACTCGAGCGCGCCTGGCAATCAACGTTCTTTCTAAAGGGCCCCTTTTCTGCGTTAATACGAGCCATTCATGGTGAGGTCCTCAGTGTTCTCTGAGCTTGGTTGGGTTCCTGCAGACGTTTCATGACCCAGCTAGGTAACAAACATCACCACTGCTAGAAGGGAGTGGGCCTCGCTCTCAGTTTAGATGCTAGTGGCTTGCCCCGTTAGTGTTGGTGGGTGTTCTTACTGGCTCCTGGATTAGGCTGTTGTTGACTGTTTTGTCTGAGTTGGTAGAGCCTTCATTTGGTTTTTGTTTACCAAACCCCACTTCCCTGATGACGTTACCTAGGTGGGTCATGAAACGTCTGCAAGAAAACCACCCAGCTCAGACCGCAACAAAGACCCCACATTCCTCCTCCTCCTTCCCCCCAACCCACATACCCCCGTCTCTTCTAGCATCGATGTTTCCTAGTTGCTGTTACCAATCTCCTCCTCCTCCTCTCCCATTCCTCCTCTACTTCGCAAACCTCACTCGCTTGTAGCAACTGAATCGTGAAATCTCTCCAAGAAAACAACACAGTTTAGAAAGTAACAAGAACCCAGATTCCTCCTACCCTCCACATACCCCGGTCTCTTCTAGCACTGATGATGTTACCTAGTTTGGTAATGAAACGTCTGCAGGAACCCAACCAGGCTCAGAGAGCGCCCAAGACTCCACAGTTCAATTGTGAGTAATAAATATTCTCTAGATACAAGCTGAACTGCTGGCTTGGGAACAAATTCCATCACAACTTGCTAGAGGGGTGTGTGTGTGTCTCCCTTCCCATTTGGGAAAACACAAGAGCCTTACACACCAGGGTAGGATTTAAGTGTCTTTTTGCAAGAGGACAGGAAACAATTTTTTTCCCCACAACGGCGGCGGTCTCCCCTTTCTCCGCGCCCCCCCAAAAGAAGCAGGACAGCAGCTTTAAAACTAACGCCATCTCTTTATTATGCTCTCTTTTCCTGTATCATCAGAAGAATAAAAAAAACATTTTCCCAAAATAAAATACAAATCAACGGGAAGGACACTGGCTCCAGAAGAGGGGAGCAGGAGGGGGGGGTCAGGAATCAAACTCATCCCCACATTACGGGGAGGGAGGGGGCAGAGCCCTACCACTTCGGCCGCCCGCCATGCCGGGCCCCTCTCGGCCCTTCCAGTGGTGGACAAAGAAACTCGCTCCTCCCTTGTTCTTCCTTACTAGATTTGGGGGGGGAAGTGCCCCCAACCACCAACTTCCCCCCCCCACACTGAAGGTCAAAAGAAAGGCTGGGGGAATAGCTCAACGGCGCCCCCCTCTGTCCTGTACAGGCGTGCTCCGACTCCGACTCCGGCTGTGGCGGCTTTTGGCCTCGCGCCGTTCGCGGTCTCCTCCTCGGCCGCTGCGTTCGCCCGCTCGGCTGGCCCCACCGCCGCCGGTGGCATTGGGGCGCTCGCGTTCCCGCTCTCTGCTGTGTTCCCGCCGCTTGTCGCGCTCGGCCTGGCGGTTGCGTTCTCGCTGACGGGCCTCCTCGGCTTCCAGTTCTTTGCGCCGGCGTTCCCGTTCTCGGGCGCGGGCCGCTCGCTCGGCCTGTTTCTGGACACACTGCGGGGAGGGAAGAGCATTGGTGAAAGGACTGCCCCGCACAGGTCGCCTCAACGTACGACCATCGAGCCCCAAATTTCTGTCGCTAAGCAAGATGGTTGGTTAAGTGAATCCGTTGCAGTTAAGTTAAAACAGCTAGTCCTCAACTTACAACAGTTGATTTAATGAAGTTAAACGGGACTGAAAAGAATTTGTGGCCGTTTCCCACACTTACGACCGTTGCCGCATCCCCAACAGTCACGTCATCAAAATTCAGACGCTTGGCAACTGACTCGTAGTTACGACAGCCGCCGCCTCCTGGGGTCACGCGATCCATTTTTTTGCCACCTCCTCACAAGCAAAGTCAACGGGGGTAACGGCGTTACTCTCTGAACAAGTGCGGTGGTGGTTCACTTAACAAGCGTTGCAAGAAAGGTCGGAAAAACGGGGGGGGGGGCAAAATTCAGTTGACAACTGCCTCGCTTAGCGACAAGAGTTCGGGGGAGGAGTTCGATTGTGGTCGTGAAGTTGAGGACCGCCTGTTAACTGCATCCACCCATTTGTCCTGACTGCATCTTGACGAGTTTCTTGCTCCCGGTGCGGAAGAAATCAATAAAACCACATTTTGAGCCCTCGGGTCACCCCGGCTGGGGTCCCTCACCTGGATGTCTGTGAGGGGCAGCCAGTAAATGCAGGGGGCTGCCTTGGTTTTACGGAACAGATCATCGAGAAGCTTAGCCGGGGGTTCCTCTTGGGCTTTTTCTGTTGGGGAAGAAGGGAAGAGGGTTAGGTTGAAGTTTTGCCTTTTTTTACTGAGTCCCAAAGGTGCTGTCAACACTGCTAACATCGGATGTTTTTGCGTTGACAATAAATGGAAATTTTACCTTTTGCTTTTAGCGTCAGATGATGCTGGGAGGGGGGATGTGAGCGGGAGTCCAGCTAGACCAGGGGTAGGCAACCTCGGCTCTTTTATGACTCATGGACTTCAACTCCCAGAATTCCCGAGTCAGCTATGCTGGGAGTTGAAGTCCACGAATCATGAGGGGCCAAAGTTTCCCTCATGCTGGCTCAGGAATTCTGGGAGTTGAAGTCCACGGGTCATGAGGGGCCAAAGTTTCCCTCATGTTGGCTCAGGAATTCTGGGAGTTGAAGTCCACGAGTCATGAGGGGCCAAAGTTTCCCTCACGCTGGCTCAGGAATTCTGGGAGTTGAAGTCCACAAGTCATGAAGGGGCCAAAGTTTCCCTCATGTTGGCTCAGGAATTCTGGGAGTTGAAGTCCACGAGTCATGAAGGGGCCAAAGTTTTCCCCATGCTGACTCAGGAATTCTGGGAGTTGAAGTCCATGAGTCATAAAAGAGCCGAGGTTGCCTACCTCTGAGCTAGACATAACAACACTGGACCCAGCCTGAGAAACAAGGTTATCGTAACCAGAGCTGATAAGAAATTGGCAGGAGAGAAGAAGCCTGAACTTCAAGATAATTGAGGAATGTGATTTATGACGGTTAACTGGAGAAGCGAATTGTGCTTTGATACTATATGCTCAGGGGAGGGGAATTCAGTTTTTGGCTTCCTTTGTGCCAGTGCCGATGCTATGATGCTGCTCAAAATAAAGATTCTTTAAGGTAAACAACGCCTCGGAAGTTATTTTGAAGAGTTTCATCTGTCGGAATTAACAAAAGAGATAAAAGAAAAGAAGACACAGAGTACTCTCTCATATGGAACAAGTGGTACAGCTGGTTGGAGACTAGAAACAATAGAGGAGAATACATGTGGAAAAGTTAAAAGTGGAAAATGTGTGTATAATAATGTACAGTAATAATAATATGTATTATTCTTAGTATGAAGTATAGTATGAAGGAAGAAAAATGTAAACAAGAAACAACGGGACAACAAGGACAAATATATCTAAAGAAGAATAAGGGGGGGAAATGTAAATAATAGATTACTGTTACGAAATTGCTGTTAACAAAAAGGAGTATACACTCTGTGTGTATGTGTGTTATGTTTTGTTTTGTTGGTTTAAACATTTTTTTTTTTTTAAAAAAAGAGTTTCATCTGTCGGAACCAGGACAGGTGCTCTTTTTTCAGGAGGCAACTGGACTTTCGTGTTTTTCTTTGAAGACGTTTCGCTCCTCATCCAAGAAGCTTCTTCAGCTCTGACTGGATGGTGGGGAATGGAAGGATTTATATTCCTTGCGAGGAGTTGGTCATTTTGCATTCTTTCAGAGAGCCGTTGAGACCACTTGGAGGTTTACCTGTGTCTTCAGGCTCACCTGAGTGGTGCAAATGTGTGTGTGGAGCAGTGGTTCTCAACCTTTTTAATGCCGCGACCCCAACCGGTCGTAAGTCGAGGACTAAACCGGTCGTAAGTCGAGGACTAAACCAGTCGTAAGTCGAGGACTACCCAACCGGTCGTAAGTCGAGGACTTTCCCTGCCCGGGAGCGCCGCGCATGCATGGTTCCGCCTCCTGCGCCGGCCGAGGCGTAGCTGGCAAGCGGCAGAGACAGAGCAGGCCAACCACCAGCTGGCCCAGCCCAAGGGAGGTAAGGCACCCGCCGGAAAAGAGGGAAAAAATGGCGGACAAAAAAAATGGCGGACAGCCTTGCTTGGCGACCCCCATGAAATGGTCAATCGACCCCAAATGGGGTCCCGACCCACAGGTTGAGAACCACTGGTGTGGAGCCTTCTTTGGCTGCAGGATGTTTTCACACGCTCCACACACACATTTGCACCACTCAGGTGACTAGAACTCTCCATCTCCTGGTGATTGCCCCAAAGTCACCCAGCTGGCTTTCATCCCTAAGGTGGGATTAGAACTCACGGTCTCCCGGTTTCTATGTCTCCCTTATGCACTCGGCCAAACTCTCTCGCCTGTTACCTTTTTTCTCGGCTTTCTTCTCCTTCGATTTGGGCCGCTCCTTGCGGCGTCTCTCTCGGGACCGGGAGCGAGAGCGCGGGCCCTCGCGCACCTTGTCCCGGTCCCACTCCCGCTCCGCCAGGGTCCTCTCCCGGCGTTCCATCTCTCGCTCCCGCTCGGCCCACTGCTCCCGCACGGCCGCCTCCCGCTCCCGCGCCTCCGAGCGCCGGGACAGCTCCCGTTCCCCCCGGGTGGTCGGGCCCGCCCCGGGGAAGGTGGGCGCTTCATCTGCCTTGGCCTCTGCGGGACGGTCGGTCAGAAGACCCCGGTGGAAGTCCAGCTGAGGAAGAGACAGGAAGGGCTAAGGTTAAGCAGGTTGAAGGTACAAAATCAACGGATACTCGCGGGAAAGCTAAGAGGCGTCTTCCGAGGCCAGGGCTTTTCAATCTTTTTACCCATTGTACCACTTTTAGGATATGGCAGTATCCGAGTACCACCAAGCGCCTAGCAAGGTGTTAAAAACTTGATGACCAAAAAAAAAGAAAAAAAAAAAAAAGGAAAAAAGTAATCAAGTACAGGTAGTCCTTGACTTACAACAGTTCGCTTGGTGACTGTTCGAAGTTACAATGGCACTGAAAAAAATGCCCCCCAAGGCACAGCCAAGCAAGACACCTGCCTGCCCGCCCGGCCGCGCTCTTCCTCCTGTCCGAGGTTTTCATTGTTGTGAGCATTTCTGTTGAGGATTGGCAGTGGGCGTGGGGTGGGGGGTGTTTGGTTTTTATTCCCCCCGTCTGCTGAGTGGTTGCAGCAGGTTTTGGTCACTTCACATGACCCTGGGACACTGTGACCGTCATAAATATGAATCAGTTGCCAAGCATCTGAATGTAAATCACAAGACCCTGGAGAGGCTGCAACATTCCAGCTGATCGGCGCTTCTTCTGGGCTCAGCAGAAGCGCCAGGATCAGTGCCGAACTCCAACTGGAGCCTGGCGCTGATCCTGGCACTTCCACTGAGCCCTGACAGCCCCGAAGAAGCGTCGATCAGCTGGAAAACGGCACTGATCCTGGCGCTTCCGCTGAGCCCTGACCGCCCTGCAGCTCCAGCCGTCTCTCGCTCAGGCTTGTGCGGTGCTGCCACCGGTTCAGCTCATTCCCCTCCCCCGCTACCACTTTTCTAGGATGGTTGTGTACCACCGGCCAGGTGCCAATGTACCACAAGTGGTACCTGTACCCCTGGTTGAAAAGCCCTGTCCTAGGGCATCAATTTGACAGGTGGTCCTCGGCTTGTGACCATAATTGGGTCTGGAATTTCCATTGCTAGGGGATTATTGTGTGAGTCGTATCCTATTTTACGAGCTCTTTTGTTGATGTTAAGCAAAGCACATGGCTGTTCAGCGAATCCAGTTTGTCGGAAGCCCAAGGAGGACGCAAATGACTGCAACGGTGGTAAATTTATGCCGGCGCCCGGTTTGGATTTTTTTTTTTTTATCACGTGACGCTGCCGCCACAGTTGTGACTGCGAAGACGGGTTGTGAGTCCCTGTTTTCAACATTGTTTGAATGGTCGCTAAGGGGACGGTCGTAAGTTGAGGACTGCCTGTACTTTCGTCCTCTGACGGAGGGACAAAGTGGAGCGGAAGCTGATAAAGTTGAGCAGAGGAATTGCTCCAGTTCTCTTTTGGCCGTTACCGGTCAGTCCTTGACTTACGACCGCAACGGAGCCCAACATTTTATGTCGCAAAGCGAGACATTTGTTAAAAGTGAGTCTTGCCGTGGTGGCAAGAAAAGTGAGTTTTCTTGCCACCACGGTTAAGTGAATCGCTGCGGTTGTTAAGCTAGTCACACAGTCGTTAAGCGAACCTGGCTTCCCCTGTGGACTTGTCGGAATGCCACAAAAGGGGATCACGTGACCCCCCCAGGACGCTGTCACCAGTCATAAAAGCGAGTCAGTTGTCAAGCATCCGAATGTAAATCACGTGATGCCGCAACGGCTGTAAATTGTGAAAAGTGGTCATCCATCGCTTTTCTTCGGCGCCGTTGTAACTTCGAACAGTCGCTAAGCGAGCTGTCGTAAGTTGAGGACTACCTGCATCGCTAACAGCCGGAGAGAGACGTGCCTTCTGCAAGCCCACCATTTTCGGAGCATGTTTTCCTGTTTCGCTTTCTTGCGCCGAGCTCCAGGGCACGGGGGACAGAGACCACCCCCCCACTCCTAATGTTGGATCCCTCCCCGCCCACCCCACGCCTTCCCTCCCCGTCGGGGTCCGTACCTCATCCTGCTCCACAAAATCTGCCGATAAAAACTTGGGGTTAGACTGTGGCCACTTGACCCCGTGGAGGGCGTTCCGCGTCGCAACGGCTTCTTCCACTGTTGAATACTGAAAGGAAATATTGGGGGAAGAGAGAAAGAGGGAGAGGGAAAGAGAAAGGGGAGGAAAAGGAGAGAGGGGGGAAGGGAGAGGGAGGGAGGGAGAGGGGGGAAAGGGAGAGGAAGAGGGAGAGAGAGGAGGGAAAGGGAGAGGGAAGAAGGGAGGGAAAAGGGAGGGAGAGAGATGGGGAAAAAGGAGAGGGACAGAGGGAGGGAGAGAGAGAGGAAGAGGGAGAGAGAGGGGGGAAAGAGGGAGGGAGAGGAAGAGGGAGAGAAAGAGAGGAAGAGGGGGGAAGGGAGAGAGGAAGAGGGAGAGAGATGGGGAAAAGGAAGAGGGAGGGAGAGAAAGAGGGAGAGAGAGGAAGAGGGAGAGAAATAGCAGGAAAAGGGAGAGGGAGGGAAAGAGAAAGAGGGAGGAAAGAGATAGGAGGAAAAGGGAGGGAGAGAGAGAGGAAGAGGGAGAGATAGGGGGAAAAGGGAGAGGGACAGAGGGAGGGAGAGGGAGGGAGGAAAAGGGAGAGAGGGAGGGAAAGAGAGAGGAAGATGGGGAAAAGGGAGAGAAAGAGAGGGGGGGAAAGAGGGAGGGAGGGAGAGAGAGAGGATGAGGGAGAGAGATAGGGGAAAAGGGACAGAGGGAGGGAGGGAGGGAGAGAAAGAAAGAGGGAGGGGGGAAAGAGGGAGGGAGGGAGGAAGAGGAAGAGAGGAGGGGAAGGGGAAAGAGAGGAAGAGGGAGGGAAAGGGAGAAGGAGGGAAGGAGAGAGAGAGAGAAAGAGACGTGTTTCCAGCCATTTCTCCCCCCCCCCCGGCTCCCCAAATCCCGAAGTGTTCCTCTTAAACTGAACTGAAAAAAGCTACTTGGAGGAGAAGCGAAACGTTTTTCAAGGGGACAACCCCCCCCCCAAAAAAAGTCCAGTTGCTTTTTGAAAAAGCACCTTTGGGACAACCGTGACTTGGGAGGGCTGGGAATCCCCGTGGACGTTCCACTTCAATCCCCCCCCCCCGAAAGGAAAGCTCGCTTTAAAAACCCTCCCTAAATTCCCTTTAAACCAGGACAAGCATTTTGCATCGAGCAGCGTTAACGAACCAGCCCAGCCAATTTTTGGGAATCCTCGCCATCTTAGCTTTAGCCTTAAAAAACCAGCACGGGGCAGAGCTTTCCAGAGGAGAGGCAGATTCTTCTGGAAAGGAGGATTCCTGGAGGAGGAGGAGGAGGAGGAGGAGGAGGAGGAGGAGGAGGAGGAGAACACTCCCCCCCAAAGACTCACGGTGACGTAGCAGTGCGACTTGATCTTGTCGATCCAAAAAGCCTCCTCCACCAGGGTGCCCGTCCGGCCCAGAAGCTCCTTCAGCTGACCCAGGGTGAAGGGCCTCACCTACCCGCGGGGACAAACATCCAGGGATTCAGAAAGGCTCCCGAAGGCCCCCCCCCCCAAAAAATGAGGGGTCCTTGGTGCTCTCTGAGTTTGTGTGTTCCCTTGCAGTCGTTTCATGACCCAACTAGGCAACGTCATCAGTGCTAGAAGGGAGTGAGGTATGAAGATAGAGGAGGGGAGGAGGAGGGGATGGAGGGAAGGGGAGGAGGAGGAGGAGCAAGAATGGAGGACTGGGGGGTCCTTGGTGCTCTCTGAGCTGGGTGGTTTCCTTGCAGACGTTTCATGACCCAACTAGGGAACATCATCAGTGTTAGAAGGGGGGGAGGGAGGAGAGAGGAAGAGGAGAACTGTGGGGTCCTGGGTGCTCTCTGAGCTTGGCTGATTTCTTGCAGACGTTTCATGACCCAACTAGGGAACATCATCAGCGTTAGAAGGGTGCGGGGGTTCTGGAGAGGAAGAGGAGGAGCAGGAGCAGGAAAGGAGGAGGACTGTGGAGTCCTTGGTGCTCTCTAAGCTTGCATGTTTTCTTGCAGACGTTTCACGACCCAACTAGGTAGCATTATCAGTGCTAGAAGGGGGGGAGGAGGAGGAGAGAGGAAGAGAACTGTGGGCTCCTTGGTGCTCTCCGAGCTTGCTTGTTTTCTTGCCGACATTTCATGACCTAACTAGGTAACATCATCAGTGCTAGTAAGGAGGGCTGCTTGCTGTCGGTGTGTCTTGCCTATCTGGATGGGTGAGTGGGGGCCAGTCTTAGGGATTCAATTGTTTAATAATGGTTTTCCCAGTTTCTTGACTGGGGTGTTGCTTACTCGATTGTCGGTCTGAAATTGACCTCGGAGTTAATCTAGGCTGATCTGAGGGCCGATTAACGCTGGAGAGGGGCCGGAGTCTTTTTCTCGTTGGGGCTGGCCGATTGTCACCTTTGCACAATCGGTAGAGGTTTATTAATATCTGTGTGTCTACCGATGGCTTGATTTGTCGAGAGTGGCCAGAAATTCCCTGGTAGGGGAATTGGATCGGGCCCGGTCTAGAATGATCGTGTTTCCCCCCCCAATTGAAACTACGGTTAACTCTTGTCTCTTAGGTTGCGAAATTAAAAAGAATTTCAGCCGTGGCTTTTTGGGCTGCCAGCCGGGAGCTGCCCGCCGCCCCGGGAAAACAACTCACCAGGTTGCAGATGTGAACGATGCAGCTGACCTTGCCGCGAGGAGGGGAAGGGACCTGGGCCGTGCGGACGGGGTCGTCGATGGTGATGGAGACCCCCGAGCGTTGCTGGCTGATGGACCGCCGGGTGAGCGTGTCGCTCAGCGTGACTGCGGGACGAAGGAAGGCAGAAACTCACAGGTGACCCTACCTGTACGGTCAATCGCTTCCCCTCTTCTGCCAATCATCTTTCTCCCTCCCCCCCCGTTACCTTTTTTGACTTCGTGCTCTACCGGTAGAGGCAGGACCACCGTCTCTACGGCGACAACAGGCGCCACCTCCGGCGGTTCTTCCTCGTGGACTTTCTCCTCTTCTTCCTCCTCCTCCTCCTCTTCCTCCCCTTGACCATTCTCTTGCCCTTCGACGGGGACCACCTGTGAGGGAAAGGGGGCAGGGTGAGCTTGAGAAAAAGACCCTTTTTTTACATGACCGATCCTGGTCTAAACCCGGTTTTTGGGGGACCCCCCCCTTCCTCGCCAGCTTTTCTCCATCCAAAGATCTCCGTGTTGCGGACGAGACGAGGCAGGGTCTTCCATTCTTTCTCTTTGATTCAGGGGTATCAGAGAACGAGCGAATGTTTAAATTAGAGAATGTTCTAATGGGTTTCTAGTCCTCATGAGCACGAAAAATAGAAATGTTTCTGTGGGGTCATTCGGGGCCTCGAAGCTCGTTTTTTTTAAAAAAAAAACCTAAATTTTTTTTAGTTTATTCAGAAGATTAAAATAGAAAAAAAAATTAAGTGTCAAAAGACAACTAGACAAGAACGTTTTTTTAAAAAAAAGTGAATTAAAAAGATAAAAGACCGAAACATATGTTATACCCCTTATACCAGGGGTAGGCAACCTTGGCTCTTTCATGACTCGTGGACTTCAACTCCCAGAATTCCTGAGCCAGCATGGCTCAGCTTGGAAACCTCTCCCTTTCCCCTCAGCGTGGCTGGCTCAGGAATTCTGGGAGTTGAAGTCCACGAGTCATGAGGGGGCCATAGTTCCATGTTGCCTCAGGAATTCTGGGAGTTGAAGTCCACGAGTCATGAGGGGGCCATAGTTCCATGTTGCCTCAGGAATTCTGGGAGTTGAAGTCCACGAGTCATGAGGGGGCCATAGTCCCCCCATGTTGCCTCAGGAATTCTGGGAGTTGAAGTCCACGAGTCATGAGGGGGCCATAGTCCCCCCATGTTGCCTCAGGAATTCTGGAAGTCCACGAGTCATGAGGGGGCCATAGTTCCCCCATGCTGGCTCAGGAATTCTGGGAGTTGAAGTCCACGAGTCATGAGGGGGCCATAGTTCCCCCATGCTGGCTCAGGAATTCTGGGAGTTGAAGTCCCCGAGTCATAAAAGAGCCAAGGTGGCCTACCCCTGCCCTAGATGAACACTGATGAATCTATTCCAACAACAATAGCTTCCTCTCTATATTATATATATTTTCCACGTTGAGAACAATTATACTTTCTCCAATGGGCATTTAACAGAATAGCAGAGTTGGAAGGGACCTTGGAGGTCTTCTAGTCCAACCCCCTACTCAGGCAGGAAACCCTCTTAACATTTCAGACAAAATGGCTGTCCAGTCTCTTCTTAAAAACCTCCAGTGTTGGAGCACCCACAACTTCTGGAGGCAAGCGGTTCCACTGGCTAATTGTTCTCACTGTCAGACAATTCCTCCTTAGATCCAGGCTGCTTCTCTCCTTGATTAGTTTCCATCCGTTGCTTTTTCTCCTGCCTTCGGGTGCTTTGGAGAATAGCTTGACCTCTTTCTTCTTTGGTGGAAACTAATCAAGGAGAGAAGCAACCTAGAACTAAGGAGAAACTTCCTGACAGGGAGAACAATTAACCAGTGGAACTGCTTCCCTCCAGAAGCGGTGAATGCTCCAACACTGGAAGTTTTTAAGAAGAGACTGGACAGCCATTTGTCCGAAATGGTATAGGGTTTCCTGCCTGAGCAGGGGGTTGGACTAGATGACCTCCAAGGTCCCTTCCAACTTTATCATTATTATTAT